TGTTGTTTCGTGTTGTAACGGCCTGGGTGGTGGGTGGGGCTCGTTTGTTGACTAGGGCTGGTTTCCAGATGTCTGGTAGGCGGGAGGTATCACTCCCACAACATGAATAAACATGATGATATTTCCCGCCTACCAGACATCTGGAAGCCAGCCAACAAGCCCCACCCACTACCCAGGCCGTTAACAACACAAAACATGTATATATGTATGTATGTATTTATGTTATCTACAGTCGCTCAGGAGAGTTACTGATAAAGTTCCTCCAAAGCTAGCTTCAGGGAAACACACACACACCCCAGCTGTCTCAAAGGTGCTTGTACAAAAGGCAACTGGACTTTGGTTTTTCCTTGAGGAAGACCTTTCTCTTCTCATCCAAGGAGCTTCTTCAGTTCTGACTCAATTCAGTCAGTCAGAACTGGGAAAGCTTCTTGGATGAGAAGTGAAATGTCTTCAAATAAAAAACAAAGGAAGTCCAGTTGCCTTTTGAAAAAGCACCTTTGAGACAACCATGACTTGGATGACTGAGAACTGAGAAACTTCACAGACACCCTGAAGCTGTTCAGAGAAATTGTTCTGATTCACCCGTCCGACTGTTTAACGATGGATGCAACTGCAGCCGTTCCAATGGAAGTTAGTGTCAGGGCTTCGGTCTCCCTCTACTCACTTCCACTGAATACTGTTCTTCGATTTCTTCTCGATTAGCCCGATGCCCTCGAGGACGTTTGTAATATCATAAATCCGTCTCTTTTGCCGCACTGCCAGAGTATCTGCTGCCTGCAAAGGCGAACCAACAAAAAAGAGGTGAGTTCAAAAGTACCACGGTGTTAAAAAAATAAATAAATACCTGGACCGTCACAACACAAAAGCTGTGTTAATTACATCACACCCTGTTTGTGAACTTTCTCAATTGCTCAGGACAGTCTATTTTAAAATTGAAAAGTGCCAAACTCTTTCATGAATGGTTATTGTGGGGTGAAACTGTCAAACTCATCACCAAATCTAACACCGTACAAAGCGGCTGCTACAACTGTAAAAACAGAGCGCCTTATGCAAAAATTAACTATTGTTCAGATTAGGCTAATGTGCTTACCGCTTCAACAATTCATCAACAATGGTTGCTAATCAAGAATGGCTCACAATCTTGTTTCTTGGGCCTTCTCTTTATTTGTTTGTTTGCATTCCATTTTAATTTGTGTCCTGCATCATTGTCATTTAACGACCCCACAATCCCTTGCAGGGTGGAGTCTGGGCAACTGAATGGAACTAGCCGAGCATTTACTGGTCGGATGCCTTTCCTGTCGCCAACGCAGAGCTTTGTTTAGCAGATATATTCTCATTCTGCCCAGAGAGAGAAATATCTGCCTCTACCTAGGATTGAACCCACAGGCTCCTGTTTGTAAGGCGAGAGCTCCGCCTCTAGGCCACCGCATGCCTCTGCTCTTGTTTCCTGCAAATTTATTTCATTATTTGACATGGTTAAATCATTTCTCTTTCATTTTGCCTATATAGATAAATACTGAAATGGCAGGGCTGGGCTAGTGAATTTTGACCCATTTTTTAAATTTTCCTGCAATATATTAGATGAAAGCACCATCCTGCACATGGCTATTCACAGCACATTTTTTTGAATTGAACAAGAATGACCCACAGATAAATACCCATGTACAGGATTTACGCATTTTTATGATGCCGAAGAATTGTTTTCACTGCAGGAGAAGTAACATTCCTTCTCTTTGGATTTGACAAAAGCCTGTCCATACTTCCTTAAAGGTAGATCCCACTGAATGTAGGTGAACTTACTTCTAAATCAGGGCTGTCCAAACTTGGGAACTTTTGAGACTTGTGGACTTCAACTCCCAGAATTCCCCAGCCAGGTGGCTGGGGAATTCTGGGAGTTGAAGTCCACAAGTCTCAAAAGTTCCCAAGTTTGTTCACCTCTGTTCTAAATAAACAACTCCTCAGACTGTACTGCTGTGATATGTATAAATGCTGTAGCAACACTTCCAATCACTGCTTCCTTTTGGAATAAATACATATAGTCCTATGACTTACAACAGTTGTACAGTTTGAAGTCACAACAGCACTGAAAAAGAGTGACTTATGAGGATTTTTCACAAGTCTATCCACTGCCACATCCCCGTGGTCGTGATCAAAATTCAAATGCTTGGCAACTGGTTCGTACTTGTGACGGTTGCAAAAAAGGAGGTTTACAACCTTCTCACAAGCAAAGGGGGGGGGGAGACCCAGATTCATTTAACAACCGTGTCATTAACTGAAGAACTGCAGTGATTCACTTCATTGTGGCAAGAAAGGTTGCCAATGGAGCAAAATTCACTTCGCTGTCTCACTTAGCAATAGAAATGATGAGCTCCATTGTGATTGTGTAACCAATTTCGTTGTATTTATTTTGTACGAGAATAAAGACTATACTATGATCCAAAAGTCGAGAACTATCCGTTCTGTGTAGGAACCATAGGTTGCTGCTGTTAATTTATCCAACAGAGGACTATACAGCTGCAGCCCTCCAGATGCTGCTGAACATTAACTCTTGAGACACAATCCGCATGGCCAATGGGGAAGGATGCTCAGAGTCGCCCTTATTTCCCATCTATGATTCACATGGGGATTCATTGATACTTCACCCATGCTCTGTTAAACCTCAACTCTGGTTCATCGCACAAGAAGCAACTTCCTGCCTGGGACTTTGCTCTAGGTTTCTTATGTATGGGGAAAACCCTGCTGTGCCTTGCTACCAACTGTCCTTAGTTTCAAGAAGTTTGGGACTCTTCCCCCCCCCCCCAAATCTTCTGCAGAAATCTAAACCCTCCCAAGCATGCCTAAGAAAGCCCTGCACACAAAACACAGCCACTGCGGTGAGGTCGTGCCTTTGCAAGCACGCAGGTAGCGGAAGGGAGGTGGGGGAGAAAAGGGGAAGAAAGGGCTCCCACCAGCTGGCAGAATGGAGGGAAAGTAAGGACAAAGAGCTGAACGCCATCTCCCCCATTGCCCTACTGATGCTGGATGAGAGAAGGAAGGAAAGAGATGGGAAGGAAAGAAGGAAGGAAGGAGGGAGGGAAAGATAGATAGACAGACAGACTGCAAGCCAGAAGGAAGGAAGGAAGGAGATGGGAAGGAAGGGAAGAAGGAAGGAGATGGGAAGGAAGGGAAGAAGGAAGGAGAGAGGGAAGGATAGATAGATAGATAGATAGATAGATAGATAGATAGATAGATAGATAGATAGATAGATAGATAGATAGATAGATAGATAGA